TTTGCTTGTCTTTTCTCGTGGCCAGTGATCACTAGTTGTTTTTGGTTCAGAGATAAAAAGATATCAACAAAGGGAATTTTAAACTTAACTATTTTATTTATGTCAAGATATACATCCCTAACTAGACAGTGGGTTCACTCTCTCACCTCACTGGGAAACCTCTTCCTAGACACGGAGGAAACACGTCTACATTATATGATGGTTTAGACTCGACTTTTTGAAAAACCTTTCCCTATCTGTCATTCCCACGCTAGTTCAGCCAATCAAAATCGATTTCCTTTATTTTGTCTTGTATCTGATCCCTGAAGTCAAACTGAGGAAGTCAGAGCAGAAATACACTTCTCTAAAAAATAATTGTCTGCTAAAATATTATTCAACAAACCTATTTAACAAGTTTATATAAATGGATGGCAGATTCGGAAATTGGCAGGACAGTAAGAAGACAAACATTCTTTAGATTGGAAGTTGTAGGGAGCAATGATTGTTCATATCCTGAAAGGACATGGTGCATAAAAGAAGACTCTTTGCTCCATCAAAGTTAAAGACTGAATTCAGTGTCTTTTTTTTCCGTAGACTAGCTGTCATTCAAACAAAAGAATTCAGTATACCTTTTTATTTAAACTCATAACTGGGGGAGGATGGATTTTTACCATTTTCAAAAGCATTAATGTGAAGAGAATAAAACAGACTTGTTCATAATTTTAACTTGAAATGCTGATTGCATTTACTGCACCGGTAACTGGTATGCTATTCACATATATAAAATTGCATTTTCTTCTCGTATTTCATCAGGGACAAAAGAAAATACCTGCTGCACAAGTCTGTTGCATTTTCTGGCTTTTGCTACTAGCATGGTACTTGTGAAAAAACCTTTGTGACAGTGCCACTCACTCTCAGATCAACTTATTTGCTCCCCAGCTCTCTACCTGTACACACAAGTTAATTTCACTCTACTGTTCAAGCAACAGGTAAGCTGATGTAAGGGAGATGTCACTTATCTGCTTATCTCCTATTCATAAGTTCAAATCAGTTGAAGATTTCTTTGTTAATTTCATATTTATCTCTTTGCTTGAGCATGAGAGATGTTACAGATTAAGGAAAAAAGAAACAAAAATCACACATGAAACTAATAAATAAAATGTCCCCCTTTATTAAGTTTTCTTGAGTATGCAGGTTGGTAGACAAAATAGACATTGTTTAAAATAAAGGGAGCCTCTACTCAAATATGGGTATCCATTATCAATAACATTTTAAATAATAAAAATATGTCAGATTAAAAAATAAAATCCACTAATTCTTTAGAAACTGCATATTATATATTAATAAATATACATAATACCCTACACCGACAGGACAATTAAAAGTTTCATGCACAATGCAATCTTCAGGTACTGAGTTGAATTCAACTCAGTATCTACAAATCAACAATTCGCCCTTGCATGGAGTACTGCTGCCATATATGGTCTAGAGCACCTTCTGTTTGCTTCGGGGTTCTTGATAAGATCCAGAGTCAGATATGCAGTACAATTGGCCATGATCTAGCATCTCATCTACAGTCACTCTCTCACAGATGCGGCGTCACCCCTCTCTGTCTTTTTAACAAATACTTTCATGGTAATTGCTCCAAGGAGCTGCATTCGCTGGTTCCCAGACTTCATGAATTCAAGCGTCCTACAAGGCTGGCATCCTGCTCTCACCCTTTCACTGTTGAAACTTTTAAATGTAGCCATCTCTTCTACTCCAATAGCTTCATATCTCGCACTTCTCGCCCGTGGAACTCCCTTCCCTATTCCTGTTTCCCTGAGAGCTATAATCTCCAGCTATTCAAATGTAATGTCAATTGACATCTCCAGTTGCCTTGATCTATCCACTATCCTTCTCCTCATCCTTTCCTCTATCACTCCTATCTGATCTTGCTCCAAATCTTCTGTAACCACTTGCGCCCTAGTGGCTTCCCGCCTTGCTTGGGGTGAAATTCTTAAAAAAAAAAAATACCTGAATCTTTGAGTTGTACTGTCAGAGTGAGGTATTATGTATATTTATTATATAATTAAGAGCTCTGTTATTTAGCATTGAACCCTGTTTTTCTTACATCAAAGGATATATATATTTATGTATTTGTATTTGAACAATTTTGTGTACGTATAACAATATATATGCATATATTTGTATTTGAACAATTTTGATAAACACAATTGTCAAGTGGCCTGACAATTGCACTTAGCATGAAACAGACTGTTGCCACTGGGTGTTGACTTCAATGTCCACTTTTATATTTACCTATGCTCTATCCCTGATATCAAGCATTTTAACCCATAAATATAGCATTATTTAAAACTATATTTTATCTATATATATATATATATATATATATATATATATATATATATGGTTTGGGTGTAATGGATAGTGCTTTGGAATGAGAAATCAGATAGTTGATTTTCACTTACATGCAAATATATTTGAGAAAGGTATGAATCAGTCTCTTCCCTCCACCCAACTCTGGACAGACTGGGCTAATTAGCCTTAGTTGGAAACCAGTCTAGGAGGAGAAGAAAAAGGACAACTCTGAATTCAAAACCTGAGGAGGGTTGTTTGGGGATCTTGTGGCAGTATTCACTGTAGTCAGTTTTTCCAAAAAATGTGGTTGGTTCTGTACAAGACAAAACCTATAATCAAATTATATGTGCGAGTATCCTTATTGTTGAGCTCTAGGAGCTGAATTGTTGGACCATCATACATTGAAGATGATTGCAGGGTCCATATATAATAAAATAAAATTGTAAAAGATTGAAATGCTTTAACCAAGTTTCATGCTCTTGCAATGGTGGTGGTGAAATTGCATTTTTTTAATTAAGTATTTATTTCTGTGCTTGCAGGTAACAATCAACTCATTTCTTTTATTTAATAGGTTATTGCCAATTCTTTGTGAAATAATGAATTTTTCAGTCAAACCTGCCGATTACAAGAGCAAGAAACATGGCGTCATGTTAGGTTGAAGCATTTTGCTCTTTTCTAACACTATTTTATTGTAATACAAAAGATAAGTCTTGTTTATATATATATATATATATATATATATATATATATATATATACATACACACAATCTTACCTGACCAGGGTTCTCATATAATCATCCAGTGAGGGATTGTACTAAAGCCAAAGATTACATCACATGAATGATGTCACAAATGGTGTTCGAGCAATGATATCACAAAATTTCCTAATACTTACTGACAGGAAAATTGATACAAATAAATCGGGCATAGTCATAAAAAATTTCAAAAAAAGAACTTGCCAACTAATTGATTTGATTTTCCCCGCAGGATACCAAAATTTCTATGAAAAAAGAATTTCAAAAACTCTCAAAATATAAGGACCTGCAAATTGAAGTAAAAAAAAATGGGGAAACTTAAAACTACAAGTATCCATGTTGTTGTAGGGGCAATGGGTATGATAAAGAAGAGTAACAAAAGTAATGTAATGAAAATTCCTGGACACATCAGCAGCTCAGAGCTAAAAAAAGATTACTTTGTGTGGAACGGCACATATCATCTGTAAAACTCTGTCTAAACGAAATGTTCCAAATGTGCATAGATAACTTTCCTACAGTGCCCTTTTTATTCATACACCCTGAAGGGGACTTGGTGATTAGGCACTTAAAATTACTCTGGCTAGATGATACCATACAAAATAACAATAATAATAATAAATGACTTCAGATTACACCAAGCATGTTTTCTAATCTTAACTGATTGGAGGTGTTAGTATGTACACATTTTCTATTGGTGAATTAAAAATGACTCCTATAAATATCCTGTTAAGTACCACAGATTTGAGATCATATCTAAATACTTGAGGACACCATCAATCAGAGACTGTCTAAGCAAACTGGGTTGCCCAGTCTTAATGGTTACAGTAATTTTTATATTAGCAGTTTCCTTATCAGGAAACATTTGACATTTGTTGACAAAGCAGCCAGTGCTATTTTCAAATTAAATTTATAAAATCTTTCTCTTAAAACAATTTTTCAGGAAAATAGGTTTCTCTAGTCCACTATTACTCTTCTTTTTCCAGTACTGATAGGGACTTTTTCTTAACCTAAAATATCACTATTGTGATTATGTAATTATTTTCTCTGAGTTACATGTGGTATCTATTTTATTGTTGCTGCTGCTGTGGAAGGTCCTCAAATTATGGGGTTTATATTGTTTGGTAGGGTTTTTTTGTGATTCTGTAGTGACAGTCCATAAGGTTCAATGAAGAATGGTCTTCACTCAGAGCTACATTCTTCATTCACTCAAAGCCATAGGTATTTCTTACTGGGTCTCACCCGTGCTGCATTTTAATGACAAATTAAAATTTGAATTAAAAGTTCCTTAAATTTTGGTTGTTAAATTTGTTCCTTTTTATGTGTGGGACTGGAATTTTGTCCACTTTTGGGATAATAGGCTGGATTTTTTTTTCCTGGATTCGAGCTCCTGGTCCGAAATGAGTACTTTGCATTCTTGTGTTCGGTAGATACCCTTCTATCTGTGGTGGGTGTTTTATGCCTGTGATACGACATTTTGCCCAGTGTGCTTTCCTGATGTGACTGTAATGATTCTGTGGGTCACCACTCGATAGCCAAGAGGTCATTCCTCAGGTCAATTCTGCAAAGTCTTTTTTGGCATGATCTTGAGTAAGACACTACATTTGCGACCCAATGTTACTTTGTCCAAGCACATCCCACTCAATAATAATAATAATAATAATAATAATAATAATGACAAGACTGTATTAAACTGACTACTTTCTGTAATGGTTTCTTTACAATAGAATAATATCAAAAATGAAAATTATGATGACGTTACCAGTGAGTCTAAAACTAGCAAGAATAACAAATATTGCTGAGCCAAGCACTTTTTTCTTTCCGCTTCTTTCAAACACCCGACCTATCCATGAATAAACCGACCGACCAACAATTTCTTTTATCTGTTCTATCTCCCGCCTCTTCGCTTAACCCATCCTATTCATCAACACCATCAGTCTAAAATGCAAAAGTAAAAGTGGCACTAAACTAAGAACAAAAATAAGCACTACAACATCGACATCAGAGAGAAAGATGAAAAAAAAAAATACAATTGTGGAATCACAAACGGAAAGAAATAAAAGAGAGTGTAATAAAAAGAAATACCACACCTTATAAATAATGATGAAGAAGACTGGAAGGGAGGAAAAGAGAGAGATAAGTAAGGAAGACATGGAGAAAAAAAAGCAGATAAAGAAAAAAGAAAGAAGGGAAAGATGAAGATGATATGAAAAGAAAAGCGAACTAAAATAAATAGTACATTTAAAAAAAAAAAAAAAAAAGGAAAATGTAAAAGAAAGGAGGCAGACAAAAATGAGATGCAAAAAAAAAGAGTAACTAAAATAAACAGCAAATATCAGAAATTTTAAGGAAACATGGGAAAAAGAAATAAAGATGGTAGAAAAGACACAGAAAAGAGAAGAGGAGAAGATAAAGCAGAAAGAGAAAAAGGAAAGAAAAAAAGATGAGATACAAAAGAGCAAAGGAAGGAAGGAAAAGAGAAAAAGTAGAATGGAAGGAAAATGAAGATAAGATATATTAAATTGAGTGAGAAAGAAGGAAAGAAATAAAGATGAAAATATTAGTATAAGAGAAGAAAAGCAATGCAAGACAAAATGAGAAAAAGAAGAAAACTGGAAGAGAAAAAAGATAAAGAAAGCAGAGAAAACAAAATGGCGACAATAAAAAAAGCAAGTTAAGAAGAAAGGGTTAACTGTGAAATGTTTTTTCATGTATTGATCTCACGAAAGGGCATTAGTCTGAATACAATTCGTTCAAAGACTGGTTAAACTGTTTCCTTCATCCTCCGTCTCCCCTTTCTTCATTTTCTTCCCCACCTTCAACATCACTTATCTCCACGATTTTCTACAATCATACCCTCATCCCACCATCACCATTTTCTTTCAACCCATTACTGCTGTCTCTTTCTGTTACCATTATCTCCTACTCTATTCCCTCACCCCGTACCCACGCACTGCTCCCAAGTGGGCCCTTACTTCCTCGACACTCCCTACCAACTCCTAGTTTCTTATTTCTTGTATCTTCAACACCTGAGTTTCTGTATTTGTGTCTGGGTTGATTAACGCGAATTTCTTTTTTCTATAGGCCTTGTTAATTAATGTATATTCATAGCTGTGAATTATTTTGAACGTGTTTTTGTGCTGACTGAACACAACATTAATGATCCAATGTGTGACGAGTAAATACACCCATCTGTCCATATATTCCAGGTGCACACGAATGCATTAATGGGACATAAATATTTCAATTTAATGTAACAATACTTAGTGATTAATGTATAGATTTTTAACCCTTGTTCATGCACAGAAAAAAAATTAAGAGCACCCAGTGAGAATTGAAGTCATTTTGCAAGAATGTGTGATATAAACCAAGCATTTGCTGTATGCTGACAGTTTCAAGACCTAGTCCTCAGCACCCAGTGAGGAATGAATTCTGTGCAGACGAGGATTCAGGAGTACGATAAGTGGGGCACTGATACTCATCTTACTTTGGTAAAACAACAATTAAAATAATAAATAAATAATCCTGAGTAATCATAAATTAACCTTTAAAATAGAAATGATATTTGTTTTAAAATTTTGTTTAAAATAGAAATGATATTTGTTTTTCATCCCTGTCATCCATTTTGTTTTTAGTGAAATTTTTTCTTATTTATTGATTTTACAGTAAATTGCTTGGACTTTTAAAAATTATTATTGTATTTTATTTTTCCTATGTTTTGTTAAATCCGTTGTTCAACATAATCTAAGATTCAAATGGAAATGAGCATCACAGATAAATTCTTTATTTTTTTATGTTTGAAATTAGAATGTTTCTACAGAAACAAACCTCCCAAAGATATAACTTTTTAAATTACTTTCTGTATTACTATCAATTAAGCTTTCTAGATGACAAATTATATATATATATATATATATATATATATATATATATATATACATTGACGATCAGTAGGTTTATACTGTACATTCTTGCAAAGTGATTTCGATCCTCATTGGGCGCTCTTAATTTTCTTTTTTGCTGTGCATGAACATAAAATTGTGGGTTAAAAATCTATACATTAATCACTAAGTATTGTTGCATTAAATTGAAATATTATATTGCACTCTCCCAATTCTTCAATGTATGAGGGTCCAGCAACTCAGTTCTTAGAACCAAACACCCAGGCTACCTGCATATATATTTTGATTATTGAGGTGAAGTCCTGCCAAGCATCAATCATAGTTTTCAAAAGAACTGAATACAGAGAACTCCAAGATCTCCTAACAACTCTCCTCAGGTTTTCAATACAGAGCTATCCTTCTTCTAGACTGGTTACCAACCAATGCCACCAATTTGCCACATGCCAGATCAGGCCCAAAATGAAGTACTGTTGTCTTATTTGGACAGGAGTGCCCAGACCTCACTCTCCATTCTTGATAAAGTTCAAAAGCATCTCCAAGTGGGTGAAGATCTATTCTCTATTCTCCAACCTCTCTCCCACAGCCTCTCACTGCTCTACCACTATGTCTATGGAAAGTTCTCAGACTACATTCCCTTGTCCTGCAGAGGCAAAACTTCACAGTAACAAACCACCCCTATTCCCTCAGTATTCCATCAGTGAGAAATAAGTTCCAGTTGAGCAGCTTCTTCCTGTGAACCACTGCCCTATGGAGCTGACTCCTTGATCCCTACAATCTTAACCTGTTCAAGGCTAGGGTTAACCATTAACTTCCACCCTATACGCACAAATGGCCTCCAAATGTAACTCTCTACCTTGAAGGTGAACCTTGTTGTAATATATATATATATATATATATATATATATATATATATATGTCTAAATTTTTAAGCAGGAGGTTTAGTTTGCTATATAAATTCATTATAAATTAATCCTCCTATGCAAGTCAAAAAAAAAAAAATGTAAGGGGGAAAACTATCAAAATACAAGGACCTTGAAATTGAAATCTCAAAAATGTGTCACATGAGAACATCAACAATTCCAGTTGTATTTGGAGCCCTCGGATTGATTGGATAAGTTCCCAATAGACTCATTGAAGGGATCCCTGGTAGCCCAAGCCTTAAAGAAATACAAAAATCGTATTCACAAGTACAGCTCACACTTTATGAAGGGTTTTATGTATGTAAAGTTCGTGTGATCTTAGCATTTTAAAAAAAAAAAAAAAATACATGGAAAATGTCATGATGCCATTTTTGACAATACAATAGAAATCAAAGGAAATAATAATAATAATAATAATAATAAAAATGTTATAAAGAATATACTTTAAATTCATATTTCACGGGTTTTTTAAATTATTTAAAATTTTTTATACAATCACCAGTTTAGCACAACACAGGTAAAAGGTAAGTAAAGGTAAGTAAAGCAATAGGCTTTATTATGGGAGATGAGCATCTGGGGAGGGGACTTGTGCAGAGAAATCAATTTATGAAACCCCTTCTTAGAATTAAAACAAAAAAATGACATTCGTGATCTGGAGTGCTTTTTAGTCATATTAAAAAAATTAAAAAATAAATTATTACTTGGAGATGTGCATTTCTGTAGATAATCTGAAGCATTTTCTCATCTTTTTCATGTATTTATGTGTTTATTTATTTCATATGGACTTCATCCTACCCCCAAATCCTAGATCCGCCCCTTTTAGATGATATGCAGGCTAATCGAAATATCATAGATTATCTTCTGCTTTGTATTATGTTGATGTGGGTCTTTCTTGGTCAGTAAGCGTCTGCTTTCATTCAAAACAGAATAATATCAATACACCTGATGTATTGAGCTGTCTTCAATTAATGTCTACGTATGCATTTATGGCGGCCCCAGAGGGTTTTTATGCTCAACGATCTTCGTGTATGAGCGTACATATTTATATCTGGATAATTAGTAGCGTGTATTTGGAGGTAGGTACTGGTGCTGGGTAAGCTGTGAGTAGAGTGGCAAAGTCACTTTAGTGATATGGCTAATGTGCGCATGTGATTGGGAGTGTGCGACGTCAATTACATGCAGATCTCATTCCACTCCTATATGTGGATAGGGTGAATCCTTTAATTTATGATTCGGCAGATAAATTACTTGTGTTCTTAAATCGTTTTCAAACGGATGTATCTTAACGCGTCTTCTGATGCAGTAATGTTGTCGCATCTTGATTATCAGTATCAACAAGCAAAGCAGTTTTAATAAATGATTTTAGTAATTGTGAGTTCAAGCCCCATTGGGGATCCCACACATATAGCCTTGTAATGCAGTGTTTTCTGTTTTAGGGATATATATGTGTGCATATGTATGTATTTTAAGGTTTATATATGTGTGCATATGTACGTATTTTCAGGTTTATACATGTGTGCATATGTATATGTACATATTTTCAGGTTTATATATGTGTGAAATGTAAATGTACGTATTTTCAGGTTTATATGTGTGCATATGTATATGCATGAATTTTCAGGTTTATATATATGCCTATGTATATGTATGTATTTTCAGGTTTATATGTGTGCATATGTATATGCATGTATTTTCAGGTTTATATATATGTGCGTATGTATATGTATGTATTTTCAGGTTTATATATGTATGCATGTATTTTCAGGTTTATATATATATGTATATGTATGTATTTTCAAGTTTATATGTGTGCATATGTATATGCATGTATTTTCAGGTTTATATATGTTTGCATATTTATGTGTATGTATTTTCAGGTTTATATATGTGTGCATATGTATATGCATGTATTTTCAGATTTATATATGTGTGCATATGGATATGTATTTTCAGGTTTTTATATGTGTGCGTATGTATATGTATGTATTTTCGAACGAATTAAATGATTTTATCTTTAATTCAACATTATTTCTTAATACTTTAGACCTTATTTTAGTGAATACACATGTTTGAGTAGACACCCTGTTTTTTTTTTGTTATTTGTGCTCCACGGCAAGGTTCAGACCTGTGTCCCCCTCTTGTAATACAGTTTCTTTATAAAGCTGCTTCATACTACACACCTCTTCCTCCTATATTTATGCCTTTACAACAGTCAGTAACTTGGTTAACAATAGGGAAAGAAAATGAAAACCTTAAGTAAATAAATAATATTAAGTAATCTTATATATATACTAGCAGCACAACCTGGTGTTGCCCGTGCTTGATTCAAAAATCATACGACTCATGCAGCACTGCACACACTAACCTGTTTCTTCCCACGCATAGCGTGACCTTAAATTAATCTGCATTTAGGAAATACCCAACCGGAAAAAACATTTTTAAGGGTTGACCGATTGTCCATTTGCACTCTGTTTGGGGGGCACTCAGAGTTGAAACTTCACGTGGTGACTCCCAATGGCCTCCTCATAAATCTGATTGGTTTTCGCTAAAAACCGACATGCGGTTCAGGTGCAATCTGGGCGTATTGGCTTTTGGGTTTTATCGATTTTCCGCGCTGTTTAGGGGTCCATGGTCATGAAACTTCTGGACAACACTTCTAAAGGTCAACTCTAAGAGGGTGTCAAATTTGGTTGAAATGCAATAATTCCTTCTGTAAGCAGAATTTTTTCGATTATCGATTATTTTGGAACCTGAGTCTGAACTGAAAAATTGGTCTGCGTCATGTCCTTAAGGCAGCCATTTGCAAACTTGTGGTGAAAACCGCATCAAAATCGGGTGAGAAATGCGGCCTGGGCAAGGTAACAATGCCCACGACAGACACACAGACAG